TTTGTACTTAGTTCCAGCTGTGAGGCCGAGATCTCCGTTGGGGCTATGGCTGCATAGGAGCTCCGCTGGCTGACCTACCTGCTGACCGACTTGGGTGAGCGGCCTCGTTCTCCTCCAGTTCTGTACGGCGACAACAAGGCGTCCCTTGCCTTGTGTCAGGACTAGAGATTGGAGCACAGAACGAAGCACATTGCTCTTCGTTACTTCCTCACACGAGAGTTGGAGCAACGTGGTCAGCTTCGCCTTGCTTATGTGGCCTCACAGGCCAACACTGCTGATGTCTTCACCAAGGCCCTTGGGTCTAGTGATCATCAGCGTTTTTGCACTGCTCTTGGGCTTGTGCCCACTCTGCCTCACCTGCTTGTCTCTTGATCTTGCCTTGCCTTTGTTGTACACTGATATACATGAGTATACCTACATGCTTACACTTGCTAGGTTTCGATCAGTGTACTGCTCTTGCTATTATAAACACTGCTACTAGCCTTGTGGCCACTTGCTTGTGCTCGGAATGCGTGGTAATCTTCATATCCACCCTGAGCTTTGCTTTGCTTTGCTTCTTCTCTTGACTGGTCTTGTGACCATTGCTTGCTCTGGCTATCCCCCACTTCGCCTATGGGGGTGTGTCAAACTATATATGTTTATATTGTATAACAATTCTCTCGACATTGTACTTGTACCCCCTCCCCCCTTGACCTAATGCAACCGTCCTTAGCTTCTAACATGTAGACCTTCGAGCGGAATCGGCACAACGACCTTGTATTCCGCTGACGTGGACGTCGGCGGCCCGAATCACTCTACGAATCCTCGTACCTCCTTTGTTGACAACATTGTCGCTGTCGCCTTCGTTGTGCATGGGACGAGGAAAGGCGGACGCAACGTTCGCTTCAGCATGGGGAGGGGGATGCTCGTCAACCCATTGCGCACGGGTTCCCAGGAGCATCAACTCCAAGCTTGCTCCACCGTACTCGCCAGCACCGTGGCGTCATCGAACATCAGCCTCTCGAGCCCCCAAGGTATCCTCTACGCCCGCTTCAACTACGGGGTCGACCAAGGCGACTAAGGTGGCTGCTGGCCTAACAACAACTTAAGACGACTGGCGGCTGGCGGCTGGCGGTCGGCGGCTGGCGCTGGCGGCTGCGTGTCCTCAAGGACGTCACAGTGCAGGGCAAGCTCACTCCCGACGGACGGAGGACAGACAGAGTAAAAAACAAGACTCGCTGCGTAGTCAAGGTGGAACAGAGCAGCAAAGTCAACAAGCTCAGCAACTAAGGCAGACGCAGCAGCAGACTCAAAGGAAGGGTCAGTCACAACCGTAGCAAGAAGACGAGTTACAGTCGGACTAGCAGCTCTAAGAAGGTCAGACTCAGGGTCAGGAACGTCAGGAAGAGAGGACGCCGGAGGAGACGGCAGGGCAACACGCTGTGGAACAGAGGAAGGACGAAGTGTCATGATGTGCGTGCCTAGGACAGATGGAGGACGAGGACCGGCAGCACGAAGTGTACGGACAGGCGTGACAGGACGCGACGCAGGCTCTCGACTCCCAGTGAGGGACACTGTCACCGCAGTGTAAGGAGCAGGGGTAGGCAGTGGGGAGTGAGGCAGTAACAGTGGCTGAGACTGGTCAGGCGGTGGAAACAGTAACGGAGTAGTGCCAGTAACAGGGAACTCAGTAACAGCAGGCTGGAGACTAAGAAGGTGACGAAGCGCAGCCGGCTGCTGCTGAGTAGTCGCACCCCCAGAACCTCCAGCTCCAGTAGTACCAGCACCCCCAGTACTAGCACCTCTAGCTCCACCACTAGGGCTGCCCCACCGGATAGCCCAGTCGCGAAGCTGCTGCGGCGAGAGCGAATCCTGCTGACTAGCACCACCAACTCCAGCACCTCCAGTAGTACCTCCAGCACCAGCACCTCTAGCGGCGAGAGCGACTCCTGCTGACTAGCACCACCAACTCCAGCACCTCTAGTAGTACCTCCAGCACCAGCACCTCTAGTACAGTACCTCCAGCACCAGTACCTCCAGCACCTCCAACTCCAGTACCTCCAGTAGCACCTCCAGTGTCAGTACCTCCAGTATCAGTGCCTCCAGCACCTCCAACTCCAATACCTCTAGTAGCACCTCTTGTGGCAGTACTGTCAACGGGATTCGTTGTGAGGCCCCCGTCCTCGCTTGGGCGGAGCCGACTACGTGGTCGGGTGTGTGGGGATGCAGCCGACCTGCAGCAGTGGGCGAGCTGGTCGACGAGGTTGGTCGACCTGCACGGGGAGCCACTGCAGGGTCGCCGACTTCAGAGGGCGCTGAGTTCGGGGCGTCGACTTGGGGTGGCCAACGACTTGGCGAAGTCGCCGGCCCGATCCTGAAGTAATCGACAAGAGGACGCCGACCGGGGAGGACGCCGACTTGCTGACACCGACCTGGTTGCCCGGTCGACCGTGTTACCTGGGCGACGGAACTTCTGCGGATGTGTGCGAACGTCGCCTGGGTGGCTTCTGCGAGACCGACCTCGGGGGTGGTATCCCGAGGTCGACGTGGCTGGTGGGCACAGTCGCTGGCGTGGACTCGACCTGGGCGTCTGCGTTGTACACGTGACAAGGAGTGGTGCACCAACCAGCTGCGCGCACCTGCGAAGTAGGTGTGCTGTTGTCCTGCGGGTGCAACGCTGTGCAGCCGACTTGCTGCAGCGTTGACGCAGTGTAGACCTGCAACGTTGGCGAGCCGCTGATCTGCAGCGCTGGAGCGGTGCGAGCCCTGCTACGCTGGATCGTGGTCGACTGTGCTGCGCTGGAGGTCGACCAGCATTCTTGCTAGCTCTGATGTAGTCAGTGTTGCCAATGTGGTTGTGATTTTTCTGGACCATTATTGTGAACTTTTGCTAGTGAAACTTTTGCTAATTTTCCCTGTGAATGCGCAAGTAGAGTGAACACGAGCAAACGACTAAGGAACGAACGCTACGATCACCCTCACACCCGAGCCTAGCCCGTAGTCTAGCTCCCGTGGTACTAGTTATCTCCGCAAGTACCTCAGTACCAATGCCTCCAGCACCTCTTACTCCAGTACCTCCAGCAGTACCCCCGGCTCCATCACCTCCAGCTCCACCACTGGGGCTGCCCCAGCAAACAGCCCACGCACAAAGCTCTTGCGGTGAGAGGGTCTCCTGTCGACTTGGCTGCCATTGACGTCCACTCCTAGAGGCTCCAGCAGGAGTACCCACAACCCGACCACCAGTACGACTCTCATCACCCCCAGAACCAGCACCTCCAGAGTCAGCACCCCTAGTGTCGCCACCTCCTGCAGCACCCGGGTCAACCGCGACCCGCTGCAGAGGCGGTGAAGACGATCGAGGCAGAAACCCCAGAGGGGTCCCCAAGCGCGGTGAGCAGCGAGTGGTCGCCGTGTCGTCAGTAGCTGGGTCACCCCCCTCAGCTGGGCCAGAGATGTCTGAGCAAACCTCAAAAGGCTCAACCAAGGGGGGTGGGTCTACCTGAGACACACCTGAGGGAGCAGGACCGTGAGGGAGAATCAGGGAGAGAGGGGGGAGTGGTACCGGGAAACTGCGGTGGGGATGAAGACGGTAGAAGCAGACTGACTCGTCAAAAGTGACGTCGCGGGAGGACAGCATACGACGAGACCCCAGGTGGTAAAACTACCAGGGCGGTGCGTCGGTGTGAAAGTCAAGGAACACGCACCGAAGAGTTCGCGGAGAGAGCTTGCCCGCGGGCAGATCGCGGACAAGAGAGAGGGAACCCCAAACCCGAAACTCCGACACATCGCCAACCTCCCCCATCCAATGCAGTGTAGGCGAGGTCTTTAGCACGGAGACACGGGGCCAAAGGTTGAGTTGGTGCGCGGCGTACCGGACCCCAAACGGCCACAGAAAATGGGGAGCAGCCGCATGGATCATGGAGGTGCGAACAACCTTCATGACCAGGCCGATGCGGCGCTCTGCGATCCCATTCTGCTGTGGAGAGGCCGGAAGCGTGAACGACTGGCGGATGCCCTCAGCACCACAGAAGTCCTCGAGGAGGTGGGAGGAAAACTCACCACCTCGGTCAGAGTGCAGCCGCAGGGCTGGGAGGTCCTGCCGGAACCGAGCGCTAAGCTGGAGACGGACAGCGCAAATCTAGCAGATCAAGACACTGCGGACCTCCGCCTTGCTCTGCAAGGGGAAGACCGTGGTGTAGCACGAGAAGTCGTCAACAACCAGCAGAAAGTAGCGCTCGCGGCCCTGTCCAGTGACGCGGGCTGGGCCCCACACGTCCATTTGTAGGGTCTGCAGAGGAGCAGTGGTAGGAGGAAACGAGGAGGGGTGAGGAGCGGCGCGCTGCCGCCCCTCGACGCAGGGAAGGCACGGCGGTGCAAGCGACCTCAGGAGCGGGGGCAGGGACCTGGGGAAACCAAACACAAGGAGACGGGAGTGCATGCCACGCAGGCGTGGCAAGGAGGGGTGACCAAGACGGTGGTGCCAGAGGAGAGTCTGGTGCGTGAGGAGATGACATGGAGAAGACGGAGCGACCTCAACCGACGCAGCTACCTGACCTGACCCAGCCACCGATGCAGATCAGTGGTCAGTGTGTACAGACCAGACCCGGGCCTCCGAGGTGCTCGCCAGTGCGTGAATCTGTACAGATCGCCACAAGCTCTCCTCCAGGCTGGGTGACAGTGACCCACTGGTTCTGGAGGACAGAGGTAGCCACGAAGTTCTTAGCGAACGAGGGGAGGTGGAGACCTGTGAGGAGGCCAGAAGGGGCCGCCGGACATGGGAGAACAGTAGAGCGACGCGCCACTACTGGGCCACCGGAGGGATCGGCCAGTGTGACAGGGACAGGGGTTGTGAGCAGTGTGACTGTGGTGCTATCACGGAAGAAACAGTGAGACGCGCCTGAGTCTAGAGTGAAAGTGTGCAAGGCCTCCTCAGGCCATGCACCTGCGCTAGGTGAGTCACAAGCACCAAGACTAGCAGCCTCTACCCTAGAAACTCTAGGCAGACACATGTAACAGTCATCCTAAACACTAGCAGAAGCAGCATACATCGCATACATGCCAGCATGGAACGCTGCACGGTCACAAGCAAACATGTCGATGTCCTTCTTAAGCAAAGCTAACCAGTTAGGAGTCGTCATCTGCTCACCATGCTCCGCACGATACAGATCATTGAGGCGAATGAAGCAGCGAGACTCCATGTGGTCGATACAAGTGCAAGTCGCTCTAGGCTGACCTGTGCGACGGACGTACCCGCAGCGAGCTGGGCCACCTGAGCTGCCAAGCCGGATCGCCCACTCACGAAGCTGCTGCGGCGAGAGCTGCACCTGTCGACTCAGGTGGTGCTTCTGACCACCCCCAGAGCCACCTCCATCACCCGCTGCACCACCAGACGCAGCTGTACGAGTGGCCGAACCTCCAGCTCCTCCTCCGCCAGCTCCACTCCGAGTGCCACCCCCGCCCCCTCCACCACCCCCACTGCTCCCACCACCCCCTCCTCCTCTTCTGCCGCCTCCACCTCCTCCCCCACCATTACCACCCCCACCACCACCACCGCCACTCCCTCCACCCCCACCACCCTCACCACCCCCACCCTTGCCATCCTTTCCCTTGCCACTGCGGCGCCTCCCACTAGGAGCAGACACATTACCGACCTCCTTAGCACCAAGGAAGTCCACAGCACCAGCAGAGGCAACAGACGGCGCGAGCAGGGAGGGGGAGCACCCCTCGAACACAGAGGGGAGGGGGGTGTCACAAGAGGCAGAGACAGCTAGGGCAGTGGACTAAGCCTCTAAGAGACGGGACTCAAACGAAGCGAGGGTGATCTTCGTGGGGTATAGAGCGAGAAAGTGATCGCAAACAACACGAAGGGAATCAGGGAGGCGGGTCGTGAGAATCATCACGGCAACGGCAACGAGCAACCTACAACTTACCACCCGAACCAGTGACAATTGAGGAAGCTCTCACGGGACCTTACCAGGAGAAGTGGCGGGCTGCAATTCAAGCGGAGCTTGACACGCTTGCTGAATGAGGAACGTGGGAGCTAGTCAAGATGCCGGAGGAAAGGCGCCCTGTTGGAGTTAAATGGGTATTCAAAATCAAGACGGGAGATATGGGGCAGCTTGAGCGCTTCAAGGCCCGATTAGTAGCAAAGGGCTACACTCAAGTGGAGGGTGTTGACTACGGGAAAACCTACGCACCGGTCACCAACCTCACAACGGCAAGGACATTTCTCAAGGTGGTCACGGCACGAGACTACCACTTGGTGCAATTGGACATCACCGATGCCTTCTTTTATGCCATTTTGAAGGAAGACATCTACATGGAGGAGCCCCCCGGGAGTGAAGATGGAACGGACAGAAAATGTAAGTTGCTCAAGACTCTCTATGGGTTGAAACAAAGCCCAAGGGGGTGGTACAAGACCATGAGCGAGCAACTACTCAAGATCGGCCTCGTAAAAAGCGAGTGTGACCGCGCATTCTACATGAAGGGCAAATGTGAGAGTACGACGGCTTATGCCAGCTATGCTTGCTTGCCTTTACTTTATTATGCTATTTCTAGCATAGGTTTATTTTATGCATGCATGAATTGCTTGATTTCCTAGGCTAGGTGCTTTCCTATATTTTATTATAGTTGTAGCAAAGAGCTAGGTTGCGTACACCGAATTCTGGGCTTTTCGGTTGCCACCGAATTGCCTTCTACCGAATTCGGGAAGGGTCTGTTCGGGACGCTTCGCGACCCTCGGAACCTTCGCGTAACACCTGGTTACTGGGCCTTGTGTCGAGCCTATATATAGCCTCGTGTTGTACCCAAGTGATCATTCAATTCAAACCCTCTTTCCTGAGCTCGATCCCAGATCTTCACAGGAAAGGGCAAGACAAGGTCGTTCTCCTACTCTATGTGGGTGATATTTGGTGGCGGGGGCAGTCAAGGAGAGAGTGGAGGAGGTGTGTACGCACCTGGCAGCAGTCTTCAAGGTCAAGCAAATCCCGAGGGCCACGCTTTTCCTCGGGATGAACCTGGAGCGTAACCGGCAAGAGAAGAAGCTGATGCTACATCAAAAGAAGTACTTCCAGCGGATTCAAGATAGATATGGCCCGCAAGGGAAAGGACGGGCCGTGGCTACACCTCTCAGCGGCATAGCGGAGAAGGAAGTGGACCCTAATGAGGAGGTTACGAGGTGGGGCAGCAGCGACAAGGCACTTACCGCCTATCAGTCAAGAGTGGGCTTTGTGATGTACCCCGTATCATGCACACGACCGGATGTCGCCTATGCTGCGAGCTTCCTTGGGCAGCAAGTGCTACAACCGGAAGGGCGGAAATGGAGAGAGATGGAGAGGACAATGGCTTACCTGCTGCAAACGGACGATGAAGGCTTGCTATTTGAGGGAGAAGAGGAAGACATGAAGCTAGTGGGGTATGCGGATGCCTCACATGCCTCGGACAAGAAAACACGCAAAGGCGCCTATGGCTACGTTTACCTACTTGGAGGGACGGCGATCGCTTGGACAGCAAAGAAACTTCAAGACACCGCCCTCTCAAGTGTCGAATCTGAATATATGGCGCTATTCTACGCGTGCCAAGAGGGGGTGTGGCTGCGACGACTCCTACAAGAATTCGACATTCCCATACAAGGACCAACCATCATCCGAACGGACAGCCAGTCAGCGATCGACCTAGCGAACAATGACAATTGGCATGGGCGCACAGGACACATGGACGTGAAGTATCATTGGGTGCACGAACAACTCGAGAAGAATACGTTTGAGTTCGAGCACGTACCATCGGAGGAACAAGCAGCCGAATTTCTCACCAAGGTTCTGCCCTAAATCGAACTTCGAGCATTGCAAGTCACTCGTGGGTATCCGTACCTTGCGAGACCTGCAGGGGAGCAATGGGCAGCAGTACAATTATATGGTTGAGATATTGTGGGCTGCTGGTTGCACGGTAACCTAAGTGATGCTGAAGAGTGGCATCCTCAAACCACAGGGGAGGTTGTTGAGGTGGTTTGCGGCTGCCACACGCGAGCGCCGGTCGGCGGCTGCTACGCTGAGCGCCGAACGGTACTGTCGCTAAGACCTAATGGCACTACTCTACGACCTACGAACTATGGCAGCAAGGAGTTCGAGAAGAATTGGGAGAAGAAATAGAAAGGAAGCAGGGGAAAACGAGTGGAATACCTAGTTGCGATGTGAAGGAAATGTCGAGAACATTCGTGGCTGGAATTGGGCCAACCACAACGCACCGTGATCGGTGTAACTTTGGTTCGCTGGTTTCGGTGTCAGTTTCAGTTACCACGCGGTTTCGCGTGCGACGCGATATGAGAGGCGGCGGACGCGTTACACGAGTTGCACATAGCTGAAATTGGTTGGATATATATTGCTTGTTATGTTTTGCAGTGTCATTACCAATTTCCAGTGAAAATCCAACTGCAAATCCAAAGACTAAGTGCTGAAACCTGTCAACCTACATAGTGGCCAGAGACTATCGCCAAGTAACACAGTACCGTTATAATGTTCACCCTAGCTCCTTCTTGGGGATCTGTAGAAACTCCCCCGGGGTTTGTGTGAGGTATTGCGCATGCTTCAAGATTTTACCGAACCTACCGTAGGTGCTACCGTAGCTCTTTGGCATACCCAAATATACTTGCATCTCACCATACATTGTTTGTAAGGAATTTTCTCGGATTCCTTACTAGGTCACATTGTACGCGTACAACCCCGGTACCAGGCTCGGTCCGCCGACCTCGCCTCCAAACCATCATCGCGTCGCCTTCGGGTTTTCCAACCCCGAACCTGCACCCAACCATCTCGCGACCCCGCGACCTCGGCCTAGCTAGGACTTGCTATATTAGTTCTAGGCCTCGCTGTTTACTCAGACGTTGTAATCACTTCTGCGTTATTGAATTCTGCGCACTCTTCTCTTTCACAACTCATAACACTTGGTATCAGAGCTACCATCCTAGGTTACCCTCGCGTTTCCGGGGTAGTTTGTAGAAGTGGAGTGATAGACTTGGTGGGCTGTAAAGCGGTCGGCCCGTGAAATAGATACGATTATTTCACTCCGACTACGATAGCGTTTACGATTTCACCGAAGTCAGAAAAATCGCTAGCCACCCCCTGCCCGTTAGACGAAGCCTGCGACAGGCACATGGAGCAGGCCGAGTTCAACGAGTTCATGCAACAGTTCTGTGCGGTGCAAGCCAACTTGCAGACCATGTCTGCAGAGGTGGAGCGTCTCCAGAAGGAAAACGCCGAACTACACCATGTCAGAATGTTATTATTGTCTAGCCTGTAGTGGGGTGCTCTATAGCGAGTACAACCCAGTTAGGGTTTGCTATATGTACCCCAACTGCTGCTAGTGAAAACCCTCTCTCCTTTCAATCATTCTTGCCTAGTCTTGTTGACATGCTATCAGAGCAGGTCGACCCCCTTGGGTCGATCCTGTGGGTGGGCCCGCCACCTAACTGCTTCCGCTGCTATTCTGCTTCTCGCACGCCTCGGGCGCGCGCCGTCTTCTTCCTGCCGTGCGCTCAGGGCGTACGGCGGTTTTCTGCCCGCCGTGCGCCCCGAGGCGCGCGGCGGTTTCCTGCCCGTCGTGGCGCCCCCGAGGACCTGCGCGCTGCCCCCCGTCGTCCTCCTCCCGTCGCCTCGTCGCGGCGCCCTGGGGGCCCGCGCGTCCCCCCCCTCCCGTCGCCTCGTCGCGGCACCTTGGGGGCCCGCGCGCCGCCCCCTCCCGTCGCCTCGTCGCGGCGCCTAGGGGGCCCGCGCGCGGCCCCTCCCGTCGCCCGTCGAGCCGCCCTCGGGGGCCCGTGCGCGGCCCCCCTCCCGTCACCCGCCGTGGCGCCCTCGGGGGGCCCGCGCCCTGCTTCTTCGTGGCGCCCAAGAGCCACCCCGCTGCCTCCCTTCCCCTCCGTGCCCCGCCCCTGCTGTTTCCCGTGCTCCTGCCTGCGTTAGGGTTTGGGGGTGGCGGGCATGGGGGTGACCGGTGTGGGTAACCTGCGGCTCCTCCTCCTCCTCCGTCTCCCACTGCTGCAGCTGCCGCTGAGGGGGGTGGGTGTGTGGGAGCCGAGGGTTTAGGGTTTAAGGGGGGTGCCGTGGAAGTGGAGCTAGGGTGTCAGCAGGGGGTGTGTGAGAGGGGCGTGGGACGGTCGGGGGAGGTTGCGTGGAGGTAGCCGTCGTGACGCCAGCAGCGCCAGTAGTCCGGATGCCCTCGCGCGTTTCGGTAGCCCAGCGAGCCTGCTTCGCCAGTCGCCTGTGGGTCCGTTGCTCCTGTGTGTGCTCGTCGTAGCCGCGGAGCCAGATACTCCCGTAGTCCGGTGCCCTCGTGCGCTCGGTAGCCACTGTGCACGCCGCTCCTGTTGCCCGTGTGTCTGCAGCTTCAGTCGGCGCCTTTCATCTTCTCGCCCTCACAGTTTCTCCTCCTCCTCACTTGCCCTCTATGATCACCTCTAGCTTTGCTTATAATTGTGAACTATTGCTATGCCTGCTCATTGTACTGATTACACCCCACTTTGGCTATGGGGGTGTGTCAGAATGTTATTATTGTCTAGCCTGTAGTGGGGTGCTCTATAGCGAGTACAACCCAGTTAGGGTTTGCTATATGTACCCCAACTGCTGCTAGTGAAAACCCTCTCTCCTTTCAATCATTCTTGCCTAGTCTTGTTGACACACCAGGCGCGTGGTGAAGCGCGCCAGGAGTCGCCTGTCGTGGACGACGCAAGTAGCAGCACCACGCCAGATGAGCGGGTCTGGAGCGAGCTGGAAGGCTCCATGGATGCGGAAGATGCGAGGCAGGCACAGCAGCAGCAGTCACCACAACAGTCACGTGCAGCGCCGACACGTGCAGCAGCGACAACGACGGCGACGCCAGCAGCAACGCCAACAATCCAAGCAGCAACGACGGCTTTGACAACTGTTAAAATCAAGCCGACAAACTCGCCCCCGTTTAACCCAAGTGACAAGTTCGTCACTGTTTCTGCATGGTTGTTCGGTGTGGAGGTGTTTTTCAATGCTGCCATGATTTATGACGATGCCACCCGCATTAATTTTGCAGTATCACTGTTGAGGGGACCTGCACTGAAGTGGTGGCGACGAACGCTGCAAGACGAAGGGACTTCAGTAGGAATAGCACGTGCGAACGACGGGACTTCGACACCTGTCACGCAACGAGCAGCTTCGATTTTCGGGACGGCTACGATACGCACATGGAAGGAGTGGGGCGCCCTGCGAACCAGGTTCGAGCACATATCCGCCTCGGACTGTGCTCGCATGAAGCTGAGCGCCTGGAAGCAGCTGACTTCGGTCCAAGACTACACCAGCACATTCTGCAACTTGGCGGACCAAGTGGACGACATGAGCGATGCGGAGCGGTTGGATCGCTACGTGGCGGGCCTGAAATACGAGATACAGTACGAGGTCCGACGAACTCTGCCACGCAGCTTTAACGACGCCGTCCGGGAGCCGAGTCAACGGATGCACTGATTTCGTGGATCGACTCAGCAGCCCACGATCAACGGCGTGGATGCACCAAGCCGAGCCATCGGGCCGTGCTTTGCATGCAACCAGCTGGGCCACCTGAAAAAAGACTGCCCGAGGCTTAAGCAGGGGAAGAAGAACGACGGAGAAGGGTCGGGAAAAGAAGCGAGTCAGTAGCAGACGGGCGCCCTACTGACGAGACCCTGTCGCCCGACAATCACCATCCACACCGGGTCGTGGTACCAATCAGGGCTATCAATCGCAACCGGACGAATAACGTGGGTGAACACGTGGACTACCCTGTGCTGGTGGTGGGGAGGGTTAACGGTTATAAAATAAAAATATTTGTTCACGGTGGGGCGAGTCACAGCCTCGTCAACCTGGCAACGGCCAAAAAAATAGGGGTGAAGCTGAACAGGTGTCTGCCGGAGATTGATGCAAGGTTGGTGGATGGGACGCCGCTGGCAATCAGAGATGAGGCGAGAAAAAATCGGATCAAGTGTGGCGACAGTTTCGGATTCGGCATGAAGATGCTGGCGACGACGCTGGACGGCTGCGATGTGTTGCTAGGACGAGACTGGCTGCAACGATTTAATCCGACGATCGACTAGACGACAAGGGCGTGCGCCGTGCGAGGACATGCAGGGCTGACGACGCTTCTGAAATGGACGGACCCGGAGCCGGTGACGACACGTGTCAACGCCATCAACATGCGGCGGGCGATCAACGGTGGAGCTCAAGCCTATGCAGTGCACTTGTACGTGGTCGCAGCCTCCGAAAAAATTGCCGACATCGACACGCTCTGCGCGGCAGTCCCTGAGGAGCTGGCGAGCATTATTCGGAAGTATCCTGAAATTTTCGCAGATGACCTACCGGATGGCCTGCCCCCCCAGCGCCCGGAAGACCATCGGATCCAGCTGGAACTGTCAGAATGAACGGACTGGAATGATTGAACTAACAGAGAAATCAGTACAAATAGCAAACCCTAGAATTGTGTACCCCATATAGACTAACCCACTGTAGCCTAACAAACCCAACATATATAATGTTTGACACACCCCCATAGGCAAAGTGGGGGAGACCTAGGGGTCACAAGACCAGTCAAGGCAAAGCAGCAGCAAGACCAGTCAAGGCAAAGCAAGGCAACAACAAGCTCAGGGTGGATCTCGAGGATTCCACACAAATTCCGAGCACAAGCTAGTGGTCACAAGACCAGTTCACATGCAGGTTTATAACAGAGCCAGAGATACAGTGATCACAACCTAGCAAGAGTAAACATGCAGATATAGATATATATAGTGATCACAGTACAAGCAAAGTCAAGAGGTAAGCAAGTGAGGTCCAGTAGGCACAAGGCCTAGTAGAGTGCAGAAGCGCTGATGGTCACGAGGCTGAAGCGCCTTGGTGAACACATCAGCAGTGTTGGCCTCAGTGGCCACGTAGCGAATACAAAGCTGACCGCGCTGCTGCAGCTCTCGAGCAAGGAAGTACCGCAGGGCGATGTGCTTCGTTCTGTGCTCCAGTCTATGCTCCTCACACAAGGCAATGGCAGCCTTGTTGTCGACGTACAGTACTGGAGGAGAACGAGGCGGCTCTCCGAGGTCAGTCAGCAGGTAGGTCAGCCAGCGTAGCTCCTGGGCAGCCATGGCTGTAGCGTAGATCTCAGCCTCGCAACTGGAGCCGAGAACAGAAGAAGAGCGTGTAGAGCGCCAAGAAACTGAGCCAGAGCCAAGGCTGAAGGTGTAACCCTGAGACGACCGCTGAGTGGCCTGGTCGTCTGCCCAAGAAGCGTCTGAGTGCCCTGTGAGCACAACTCGGTCTCGCCCTCCAAGCACAAGCCCCATGCCCGACGTACTGCACAAGTAGCGCAACACCCTCTTAGCGGCATCCATGTGCTCCTTCCTGTGACGGCCAGGAGCGACATAGCGTGCAAGGATGCTAAGAGGGTATGCAAGGTCAGGTCGAGTGCAGGTCATCAGGTACATGAGGCAGCCCACAAGCTCTGGATACGGGCCACTCGGCTCTACGGACTCATCCGAAGGCAGAGCTGAGAGCGAGTGACCGGTAGGCAGAGGAGTGGACTGAGGCGAGGAGTACTTGAAGCCAAAGCGCTGGAGAACCTGCTGCACCATGTGTGACTGAGTCAAGGTGATGGTGCGCCGTGCTCTGTCCCGGGTGATCCGCAAGCCAAGATAGCTTGTCAGCTCACCCAGGTCTGTGCACGTGTGTCTCCTCTGCAGCTCCGACTTCACGTAGGCGAGTCCTGCAGTGTCAGCAGTGGCAAAGACCAAGTCGTCGACGTACACGAGGATGTAGAACGGCGGCAGCGAAGTGTCGGTGCGCAGGAACAGCGACGGGTCAGCTGTAGAAGGCGCGAACCCAAGAGCCGCAAGTGTAGTCCTCAGTGTGTCGTGCCACTCACGCGGAGCCTGGCGGAGACCGTAGACCGGCCGCTGAAGCCTCCACTGGGTACCAGGAGGAAACGACCCAGTGAAGCCAGGTGGGCGGCGCAGCCAGATCTCCTCGTGCAGGCTGCCCTGCAAGAAAGCTGTGCTGAAGTCAAGTGAGTGAAGCTCGTAGTCGCGGTGAGCGGCTATGTGCAGCAGCACCCGAAGAGTAGTCATCTTCGGGGTGGGGGAGAAGGTCTGGAAGAAGTCAACTCCCTCTCGCTGACTGAAGCCTCGAGCCACGTAACGCGCCTTGAAGACAGGCGGAGAACCCGGCGGCCGCTTCACCCTGAAAATCCACATGCCACTGACGATGTTCGCCCCAGGAGGGGGAACCTCGTCGACGTAGGTGCGTGTGGACTTCCAGGAAGCCATCTCGGCGTCCATGGCTGTCTGCCACTGAGAGGAGTAGGGACCCGCCATCGCCTCAGCGTAAGTGCGTGGGGTCGGGATGTCTGGTGCATCCGGGTCTCCCTCAGGGGCAACTAGCAAGGACACGAGACGGGGCAAAGCAGCAGCAAGACACTGGAACTCCTCCTGTCTGTCCTCAAGGACGTCCGTGCCAAGAGCACACGCACCCCCGACGGACGGAGGACAGACAGACTCAGACTCAGCAACAAGGCTAGCAGCGTAGTCGAGACGACAGGCAGCAGCAAAGTCAACCAACTCAGCGACCAGAGCAGACGCAGTCGAGGACTCAAAGGTAGGGTCAGTGACAACAGTAGCGAGGAGACGCGTGACAGTAGGGTGCTCAGCACGGTACCGGTCAGACTCAGGGTCCGGAACGTGAGGCAAAGAAGACGCGGGAGGAGACGGTAGAGGGACACGCTGAGGAGCAGTAGAGGGACGCAGAGTCATGTAGTGAGTGCCTGGGACAGGAGGAGGACGCTCACGACGGACACGACTACCAGTGCGAGCAGGACGAACAGGCGACGCAGGACGAGACTCAGGCTCACGACGCTCTGTAAGACCTCCTGTGGGACCAGTGTAAGGAGAGGGAGCAGGGAGAGGCGAGGTAGGCGGTAACTGTGACTGCGACTGGACAGGCAGAGGACACTCTACGGAGGGAGGAGGACAAGGAGGAGGAGCCTGTCCAAGAACCTGCTGAAGGAGCGGTACGAAGTACGGTCGCAGCCGCGCAGCGTCTCCAGAAGCAGAGGAGACTCCAGCGGCCGGGTCAACAGCACCAGCAGCAGCTCCACCAGCCGGGTCCTCAGCACCAGTAGTAGCTCCACCGTCCGGGTCCTCAGCAGCAGCAGCAGCGCCACCGCTCGGGTCCTCAGGTCCAGCAGCAGCTCCACCGTCCGAGTCCTCAGTACCAGCAGCAGCGCCACCGCCCGGGTCCTCAGCTCCAGCAGCAGCTCCAACGTCCGAGTCCTCAGCACCAGCAGCAGCTCCACCAGGCGGGTCCGCAGCACCAGCAGCAGCTCCACCGTCCGGGTCCTCAGCACCAGTAGTAGCTCCAACGCCCGGGTCCTCAGCAGCAGCAGCAGCGCCACCGCTCGGGTCCTCAGCTCCAGCAGCAGCTCCACCGTCCGGGTCCTCAGCACCAGCAGCAGCGCCACCGCCCGGGTCCTCAGCTCCAGCAGCAGCTCCAACGTCCGGGTCCTCAGCACCAGCAGCAGCGCCACCCCCAGGGTCCGCAGCACCAGGAGCACCACTCCGAAGACTGCAGCGGCGTGTGTACCACTCGCGGATCTGCTGAATGGGGGGGAGCTCCTGGGTAGGAGGGGAAGTACCGGGACGAGCTCCAGCAGCACCTCTCTGGAGGCGGCAGTACTCGAGGTACCTCTCCTGCAGCTGCTGGGAGGAGAGGGCTCCTCCAGGTGTAGCACGCGCAGGCTCAGCACCCCCAGACTCAGCACCTCCAGGCTCCGCACCTCCAGGCTCCGCACCTCCTGGCTCAGCACCCCCAGGCTCCGCACCCCCAGACTCAGCACTCCCAGGCTCAGCACCCCCAGACGCAGGACGAGAGTCAACAGCTACCTCGACAGGCTCACCCGGGTCTACCTGGGACACACCTGAGGGAGCGGCACCCTGAGGGGGGAGGGGGTCTGGTACCTCAGCACCTGGAGCGAGGAAGAGAGGCGGGGGGGGGAGCGGGGCAGTGCGGTAGGGGAAGAGGCGGTAGTAGGGGACGGACTCGTCAAAAGTGACGTCCTGAGAGGCCAGGACACGACGCGAGGTGGGGTGGTAGAACTGCCAGCCAGGGGCGTCCGGGACAAAGCCAAGGAAGACGCAGGGGACAGCGCGACGGGAGAGCTTGTCCGCGGACGTGTCGCGGACAAAAGCTCGGGATCCCCAGACCCGAAAACGCGACGCATCGCCAGCCTCTCCCGTCCAACGCAGTGTCGGAGAAGTCTCGGGCAAGGAGACACGGGGCCAGAGGTTGAGCTGATGCGCAGCGTATCGGACTGCAAACGGCCACAGAAAATGGGGGGCAGCCGCATGGCTCAAGGAGGTACGGGCGACCTCCATGACCAGACCAATGCGGCGCTCAGCAACCCCATTCTGCTGTGGAGAGTCCGGAAGCGTGTACGACTGCGCAATGCCCTCCTGCTGACAGAAGGCCTCCAATAGGCCAGAGGAGAACTCCCCACCTCTGTCAGAGTGCAGACGCAGGACAGGGAAGTCGGAGCGGAAACGCTCACGGAGCTGGAGACGAGATCTGCGGATCCAAGGGATCAAGACATCAGGGACGTCACCCTTGGCGCGCAAGGGGAAGACCGTGGTGTAGCGCGAGAAGTCGTCAACAACAATCAGGAAGTACCTCTCCTGACCCTGACCACGGACGCGGGCTGGGCCCCACACGTCCATGTGGAGCGTCTGCAAGGGAGCAGTCGTCGGGGGAAAGGAGGAGGAGTGAGGAGCGGCGCGCTGCCGTCCCTCGACACAGGGAATACAGGGAGGAGCAGGCGAGACGGGAAGGGGAGGGAGCACCCTGGGAAGACCAGCAACAAGGTCCCGCTTGTGCATGGCCCGAAGGCGCTGCACAGACGGGTGACCAAGGCGGTGGTGCCAAAGGACCGTCTCATGCGCCAGAGAGCGACACGAGCAGGGGGCGGACAGCTGACCTGACGCAGACGCAGACGCAGACGCAGCTACCTGAGGGGACACAGTGGTCAGTGTGTAAAGGTCCGACCCCGGCTCCCGAGTGAAGGTAGCCAGGTGGCGACCCGTCCGAGCACACGTGCAATGTGTCACGCGCTCGTAGGCAGGGGTGAACTGGTGAACACCCCCGTCCTGGAGCGCACTACCTGCCACCAAGTTCGTAGAGAACGAGGGGAGGTAGAGACCTGACAGCGTGCCGGACGGGACCGCCGGACAAGGAAGGACAGTGGAGGAGGTCGCAATGACCGGACCCCCAGAGGGGTCAGCAAGGGAGACAGCAACTGGCCGAGCGAGTGGCTCAAGGACAGTGCGGTCACGAAAGAAGGAGCGAGAAGCACCTGAGTCCAGTGTGAAGGTGTGCAGTGCTGCAGTCGACTCAGTACCAGGGGGCACGGACGCACGAGCACCTAGAGCAGCGGCCTCACCAGGACCTGTGGGAGCAGACGCACTAGCACCTAGAGCGGCAGCCGGACTGGCCTGAATGCCCGGGTCGGGCGGAACACGCAAGTACTGAGCACCCTCTCCACTAATAGACATCGCATACATGGCAGTGAGAATAGCATCAAAGTCTAAAGCCCAAATATCAACACCCCTCTTTTCCAGATCAGCCCAGCGCGGCAGCTCAGTGGCAGCAGGAAACTGAGTGCGCCACGCGTCGTTAAGGCGCGCGAAGCAGCGCTGCGTGGGGTGCAGCCTCCCACACTGCTGGCCGCTGCGGTCACCTGTGCGAATGACGTACGTGCAGGTAACGCTACGCTGCGCATACCACTCACGGGCGGCCTGAAGCGTCGGGGCGGGCTGCTGACTCTGCCCTCCGCCAGTGCCTCCACGACCACCACCCCCACCGCCGCCGCCCCGGCCACCTCCACCCCTGCCGCCGCCACGACCACCTCCGCCTCCGCTGCCGCCTCCACCACCACTCCCACCGCTGCTGTCTCCTCCCCCACTGCCGCCACTAGTCTCCCCAGCCGCGCCTCCACTCCCACCGCCTCCACCCCCACCTCCTCCGCCGCCACCCCCACCCCGGCCGCCCTTGTTCCTGCGGCGCCCGCTCGAAGCAGACGCGGTCCCGACCTTCTCAGCACCAAGAAGGTCGACAGCAGCAGCAGAGGCAACAGAGGGGAGGAGGGGGGAAGGGGAACACCCCTCAAAGAACGGGGTGCGGGGGTCGCCACGAGAGGTGCCTACAGTGACGATGCTCGCCTCAGCTGCAAGCAGTTCCTTCTCGAGGAGGGCAACAGTGAGCTCAGTGGGGGAGCGAGAGAGGAAGTGGTCCCTGACTGCGCGCAGAGAGTCAGGGAGGCGGGTGACGATGTGGTAGAGAGTGATCCAGAGCGGGGGGGGGTTGCTAGTGAGAAACTCGGCAGGCATAGCAGCGCGAAAGCGGGCCTCACTAGTCTTAAGGTGGGTGATGAGGTCTGCGACAGTGTGAAAGGAGGCTAGGTCGGGGAACAGGTAGGGGAGAGTGAGGCGGCCTAGCGTGGCAGAAGCTGGCGAGGAGTAGCGGGCAACTACAGCGGTGTAGAGGTCCTTAGCAGTCTTGCACTGGCCGAAGTGCTCGCGCTCGTCTAGCGGCAGGGAGTTGCGAATAGCAAAGCGAGCGTGCGCATCACGGGTCTGCCACTGGGAACGCAGAGTGCTGTCAGCAGTCGAGTCAGGGGCAGTGGCATGGCCTAGGGCGTGGTCGTACAGTGAGATATCTTCCTTGGCAGTGAGCTGTAGGAACAGGTGCAGGTCATCGAGCCAGGTTTCGAACTTCACTGGACGGCCCTCGGCATCGAAAGCTAGAACTGGCGGACTAGCCATAGTGACAGTAGCAGTAGGAGCAGTAGGAGTAGCAGTAGGATCAACAGGGCTGCTAGAACGGTCGACGCGGCTCGGTCGGGCGGCGCGGCTCGGTTCAGGTAGGGCGGCGCGGCTCGGTTCGGGCTGCGCGGCTGCGCGGAGCCGCTAAGAGGGGCGGGACGGGGTCGCGGGGGCCTCTAAGCGGGGCTCGACGGGGCCGTGGGGCCGCTAAGCGGGGCGCAGCGGGGTCGAGGGGCCGTGTGGTGGCGGGGGGACGGGGCCGCGGGGCCTCTAAGCGGGGCTCGACGGGGCCGTGGGGCCGCTAAGCGGGGCGCAGCGGGGTCGAGGGGCCGTGTGGTGGCGGGCGACGGGGCCGCGGGGCCTCTAGACGGGGCGCGCGCGGGGTCGACGGGGCCGTAAGCGGGGCGCGCGCGTGTTCGACGGGCCGTGTGGTGGCGGACGACGGGGCCGCGGGGCCTCTACACGGGGTGCGCGCGGGGTCGACGGGGCCGTAAGCGGGGCGCGCGTGAGTTCGACGGGGCCGCGGGGCCACTAGGCGAGGCGCGACGGGGCAGCGGGGCCTCTAAGCGGGGCGCGATCGACGGGGCCAGCGGGGCCGGGGAAAAAACAAAGAAAGCGCTCGAGGGCGCTAAGGGGGGAGGCGCTAAAGCGCACTCCGATAGTAGGGCGCACGAGGGCGCTAGTAGGTAGTAGGTAGTAGGTAGTGGTGGGCCCGAAGAGAAGTTAGGTCCTAGCGAAGGACCTGCTCTGAAACCATGTCAGAATGAACGGACTGGAATGATTGAACTAACAGAGAAATCAGTACAAATAGCAAACCCTAGAATTGTGTACCCCATATAGACTAACCCACTGTAGCCTAACAAACCCAACATATATAATGTTTGACAGGAACCCTGCGCGCAACCTACTGTATGGACACAGTGGCGGCTCAGCCAACCAGAGCTCGACGAGCTGCGAAGCCAACTGGATCACCTGCTAGCCAAGGGATTCAAACGCCCGAGCACGTCGCCATTTGCAGCACCAATACTGTTCACGCGGAAGAAGGACGGGGGCCTACGCATGTGCATTGATTATCGGGCGCTGAATCGGGTCGCAATAAAGTCGCGTTACCCGTTCCCGCGAACGGACGATCTGCTGGATCAACTTCGCGGAGCTCGCTACTTCTCGAAGATCGACTTGCGAGGAGGCTACCACCAAATTCGCGTGTTCGCCGACGACTGCCCGAAGACAGCTTTTCGCACACGCTACGGCAGTTACAAATATACAGTGATGTCGTTCGGACTGACCAACGCGCCCTCGACGTTCCAGCTGACGATGAACGGGATCTTCCGGGACATGCTGGACAAAAAAGTCATCGTGTATCTCGACGACATCATAGTGTATAGCAAGACAAAAGACGAACATTTACGGGATTTGGAGGAGGTGTTCCAACGTCTACAGAAGAATCGGCTAATTACGAAGAGGTCTAAGTGTGAGTTCCTAAAGCCGGAGTTGGAATTTTTGGGCCACGTGGTTTCCGGCGAAGGCATTAAAAGCGACCCTCGTAAGGTGGACGCCATCGTTAAGTGGAAGCTGCCGACTAATATCCCCGAACTGCAGAGTTTTTTGGGATTTGTTAACTACGTTCGTCGTTTTGTACCTAATATGGCAGGGATAACCAAGCCGCTGACCGACCTGCTGCACAAGGACACACATTTTCGGCGGGGGGAGAAAGAGCAGTCCGCCTTCGACGCACTCAAAAACATTTTGAGTTCACCCCCGGTCCTCCACCTCGCCGACCCATCTCGACCGTTCGAAGTCATCACGGACGCCAGCGATTTCGCCGTCGGCGCCGTCCTGCTACAGGACTTCGGCAAAGGGCTGCAACCCATCGCCTACGAATCACGCAAGATGCAGCCACCCGAGCGCAACTACCCAGTCCACGACAAGGAGATGCTGGCCATCGTCCACGCATTTCGTACCTGGCGCTGCTACCTCACGGGAGCCGACGTGACGATCCGAACCGACCACAAATCGCTACAGTACATGCGCACGCAACCGACACTCAACCCGCGACAAATTAGGTGGTTGGACTACCTCGAGTCCAATTTCCGGTACACCATCACGTACAAGAAAGGCGCCAACAACACCCGCTGACGCCCTCACCCGACCATCCATGCAGACCGCGGCGGTACTAATCGCCCACACCAACCTGATGTTAACCGGACTATTCACGCACGGCTACAAGATCGACAGGTTTTTCAAGAACCGGCACCAACAGGCTACCACGCAACACGGCAACTATCACCTTAAAGCCGGTACGAACCGGATTTGGGTGCCCGCCTACCAGCCTTTAAGGGAGTTGCTGACGCAGGAGGTACACAACTCCAACCTTTCCGGGCATTTCGGCATCGACAATACACTGAAGCTGCTGCAGCGGAATTACTATTGGCCGAACATGCTAACCGACGTGCAGCGCTACGTGACAACTTGCCCGACCTGCCAAGCGATGAAGTCGTTGCGACAAAGGCCAGCCGGACTGCTGCAACCCCTCGAGCCACCCGAACGACCGTGGCAACAGGTGACGATGGATTTCGTCACGGGGCTACCAGCTGGCGCGAGTGGCAACGACTCGGTTATGGTCGTCGTCGACCGACTAACGAAGATGGCGCATTTCGCACCATGCCGCACGACGATCACAGCCGAAGACACGGCAAAACTCTTCATCTCAACCGTCGTACGCCTACACGGATTACCTTCGGCGATCATCAGCGATCGAGACATGGGCACTGTCAGAATAACTGAGAAGGAATGAATGAACTAGAACAGAGTTTGGTACAAGTAGGAAACCCTAACTTTGTGTACCCCCTAAGGTGTAACCCACTACAGCCTAGACAATATAAACATGCAATGTTTGACACACCCCCATAGGCGCAGTGGGAGACAACCACAGGGTCACAAGACCAGTCAAAGCAAAGCAAAGCAAGCTCAGGGTGGATCTCAAGGATTCCACACAAATTCCGAGCACAAGCAAGCGGTCACAAGACCAGTTCACATGCAGGTTTATAACAAAGCAAGAG